ATTTGGGTCTGTTTTATATCTTCTATGTTCTGCATGATGTGTTCACTCTTTATTCTGAGCATGTACTATGCATCATTGTCTTAATGGTCTTGCTACTGAAAAAATCATTTGGGTTATTTCTGCATCTATTTATAGTAACTCCCTACATTGTCATCATGATTCCCAGTTCCTGACTTTTTTTGTATGACTGGATTCAAGACACTGTGAAGTTTATCTTGATTGCTAGACAATTTTGTGTTCCCGTAATATTTGTGGGTATAATTCTGTGATCTATCTGAGTCATTTGAGCCCTGCTTATGGTTGTTGTAATGCTTTGCAGTACAGAATTGCAGCAGCCTTGGTCTAACATTTTTTATTTGCCCTCAGAAAGGAAAGCAAAACATTTCTGAATACTCTATTCAGTACTCCATTAATTAGGAAATTTTCACTCGATGATGGAGAGGTGAACTATTCTTGGCCCTCTATGAACTCAATTGTACATCTGCTCCTTTGGCGTGTTCTCCCCTAGCCCTGGGTAAGCTACTTTCCTTTGTGTACCAGTCAGTACCCAGCTGAAGATCTGTGGGGCCCTTTATTCATTGCTCAGGTTTTACTTGGATGTGGCTCTTCCCTGTTTCATACTCTGTGGATTTCCCCTCCTGTGACTCCCTTAATTCACATCTTCACTACCTCAACCCATTGGGCTTGCTGGATTCTACCAGCATCTCCCCTCCCTAGGCTCTAAACACTCCCTCCAAGCTGGGAAGAACAGGGAATGGTCTTTGTTACTTTCCTATCTCCAATGGATCACATAATTCTTGCATTTCTTGATTTGTAATATTGGAAAACTATTATTTCATAGATAGTTGTTTTAGAATTTTTTAGTTGTTTTGTGCAAGAGAGGTAAATAGAGAATAACAAATTTTGGTTACTCTTTTGGGAACAGAATTCAGGTGTTTCTGGTTTAGGTGATAAAGAAAAATGTGTACCTGTCTATTGAGGGGCAATATTGAATTTAAAGTAGAAATTGAAAAGTGAAGAGAGAGAGAAAAGGGAAAAATCTGTGAATTTGTTTACTAAAGGAGCTGATGAGGTCTCCCATGCCTGTAATTCTATCTACTTTGGAGATCAAGGAATTTCAGTTCAAGGCCAGCCTAATATGGAAAAGAAGTTCAAGAGACTCCTGAAATCCTACCTCAAAAACAACCAGTGCAAAATGGGGTTGAACACTTGCCTAGTGAAGCCCTTAGTTTAATCCCCAGTACCACCCAAGAATATTCAAAATGAGAAATAATAACAAAATGAAATAGTGCTGAATTTTGCATGTGGAAAGAGACATGTAATGAAGAGGAAGGAAGGAAGAAAGGAAGGAAGGCAGGAAGGAAGGCAGGAAGGCAGGAAGGCAGGAAGGCAGGAAGGAAGGAAGGAAGGAAGAAAGGAAGGAAGGAAGGAAGGAAGGAAGGAAGGAAGGAAGGAAGGAAGGAGGGAGGGAAAGAAGGAGGGAGGGAGGGAGGGAAAAGGAAGGAAAGAAAGAAAGAAAGAGACAGAGAAGTGAGAAAGTGGTGAAGCAGAGAAATTAGAGTTCACTTGTTACTTGGATTTGTATTATGTAATGTGACTAAAGTTCATCTACTTCATGCAATGAGAGGGAGAGTGAAGTCTGAATCCCTCGCCACTCCCTCCAATCCCCTTTTCCAATGCTCTCATTCCCAAAATTTTCATATTCTTGACAGAACTTATGGAGTTATAGATTGCCTAACAATTTTGTAATCATCCCACTTTAAAACTTCTTGTGGTCTGATATACAGTTGACATTCATATTTGATATCTGTCCTTTCTTACTACTTCTACTGAACCTTGAGATTTACTGTCCTGTTACAGAACACTAAGAGACAGGAAATAAATAAAAATATCACTTCAATTTGATAAGGTATGACTGGTAGAGCAAGGCATAAATGGAAACACGGAGGCTGGAAGGAGACCTATGCCATCTTGAATAGGCAGAAATAGGCTATAAAAAGCACAGGCCCTTTGAACCAAAGGAATTGGGCAGGAAATAGGTTATGGGGTATGGAAGTAGTAAAAAGAATGAATCACCCACCAAAGGGAGGAGAATGTGTAAAGGTTAGAAGCTGAAGAGGGCTGAAACTGTAAGTGGATTGATGAGTCTGAGTGTGGAAAATCTGATCTGAAGTCACACCCAAGAAATACTTTAAATGCCTGCGATGGTGTTTGGAATTGAACCTAAGAAAGGTAAGGGGGTCTTAGGTGAGTTTCAAGTAGAAGAATAACAGAAGTTGGTTTGGTCTAGAAGTCATTTTCATGTCAGAAGACAGAATCCAAGGAAATGTATTCGTTGTGAGCACGGACAGTACCTTGTGATGCAGAGTGGAGAAGTGGGTGTATTCCAGGATGGAAATGGCAGAACTGCAAAACCTGGCAGATGGTTAGATGTGTGACAAAAGAAGGTGGTACCAAAGGAAACACCCAGGTGTTTGTCCTGGAAAATTGAATGAATGGCAACATTACAAGTATTACTGGTTAGATGTTTGAAAGCCCTTTGTAAAAAGAGAGAAAGGAGGCAGATTGGAATGGTCTGGCTTTGTTTTCATTCGTTCAAGATATTGTCTGCTTTTGTTAGGTGCAAAGACTGTATGAAAATAAGGAAGAGAAATAAGGGAAGGGAAATTGAGGAAAATGACACCTGGCAATCCTTCAGGTCCAACTAATACTAACTAATGTGATCAGGAGTGGATTTAAGTGTTGTCCAGCAACTCTGGACAATGACAGGACCAGTTAGAAGTGATGTACATGTGGGCTGAACTCAGGCTGAAGACTATGGAGCCACAAAGGTGAGATCACAGTTAAATACATGATGGAAATCAGCCTTTGGGGCTAAATCAAGCATCATCAAGGTGTTCTCTTCAAAGAATCAGCTAGATAGGGCAGCCAGAAAATTCTAGAATGGGACCAATGAGAGAATAGGAAGAGGATAAACAGCTAGAGATCAAAGAACTGGTCATGAAAGAGAAATAGATGAATAAAGGAAAATCACCAATGAGAACTGAAGTAACAAAATTCCTAGGTATATACAGTGGATCCAGTTGTGATTTCATTGCATTAAAGGTGGCAAGTGGCAAGATGTGTAGCAAGATGGTTGAAAGTGCCAATCTAACACTCCAAGAAAAGAAGTTCGAAGAATATCTTCCACGTTGGAGCTCAGTGAGCCACAGTCATGGATGACAAAAGAGTAAAAGGTTAAGGTGTTAAAAGTTCATGTCCAGGTCAGTCTTTTTCATTGTACTGATCACTGAAAGCAGGTAGCAGAGACAAAGTAGGTATGAACAGGGATCCAGGGCATCTGTGAGCACAGAACAAAAAGGGTAATGTGACACATTTTCTCTTTGGTGGCATTTTTAAAAATAAATTCATTTAAAGCTGAATCATTAGCACTTCTAAAAACCCCCAAGGTCATTTCAAGTTCATTTACTACAATGTTTTGAGCACATCCTGGTACCAAACATCTTCATAATAAATTCTTTGATCTCCCTTTGCAGGTTTTTAAAAAAAAAATGTTTGTGGAGAACTTTTAGACTTAAAATTAAACAGAAAGACAATTCTTGGCCTAGCAGGTCTGATGAAAGACTGGCCAAACATATTAATGTAGAAAACTTAAAATTTCCCATCAAACAGCACACATCAAACACCAGAAAGTGATGAGCAACAGGTTTATATGACAGGAGGTATTACACAAAAAGTTTCCTCCACACCTTGTTTTGTGGTTTTTATACTGTAGCCACTACCACACCTAGGAGTTTCGCTTATTAAAATAATAAAGAGACAGGGTAAACCCTGCTGACAGTCAGGTTTTACTGCATAGAGCAAACACAGTTCCTCAAAGGTAAAACTGGAATGACAAGAACAGGATTCAATTTGGAGAATGTCTGATATTAGCTAATTTTGTTTTCAAACTAAGTGTATGTGTGCGTGTTACGTGTGTATTATTTCCAGCAGATCTTTTTATAAAACATTGACACTGAAGCCAAAAATAACACGGGGACACACAGAGACAAATCCAAGTATGGACCTAAATCATAAGGTAAAATCCTTCTTTAAATATTTAAATAGCCATGAAAAGAGGTAAATTTCTGAAGGGTGAAATCAACAATTAAAAGTTCTTAGCTGGACACTGTAATTCTACTCAAGAGACTGATTGCTGATAGTAGCGTGTTCAGAAGCCAATCTAGGTAGAAGAGTCCCCTTGACTTTTTAACTAGCAAAAAGCGAGGCTGGAGGCATGACTCAAGTACAAGTGCACCAACCCAACAAGCACAAGGCCCTGAGCTCGAATCACACACACACACACAACATAGATTCAATTTCTCTGCGGAATACATACATCATCTATGTTACAAATGCATGTCCACAGAGCAGTGATTCGTGTGGGAGAGCTTGAAAAAGAGTTGTCGTCATTTCAACCATCACATGATGAGCACTTACCAGGGACCGAACCCCGTTATATCGTGTTTGCTACATGCATGTGGTAGATCGCGCCAGGGAAGAGGTGACCACAGAGCTCAAAGCAGCTAGAAGACCCAGGCCACCGAAGTGTGAGCCCAGTCATTTGAACCCCCAACTTGCAACAGCATTTTCTTTTATTAAGAGTCTAACATACGCACCCCACTTTGCAGTGGGGCGCGTGATCTCCAGCTAGCCTCTGAATCCCAGCGTCAAGATCTTCCTACCCAGCTGTGGAAAGTTGGGAGAGGAAGTGGAGGGGGGGGGGTGGACAGGTAGAGGGAACAGGTGGGCCGGGCTATTCTGAAGCAGGTGAACTAATGATCCGGGGAGGGCCGAGGGGAGGGCCATGGGAGGTTCCCTCCACCACCCCCGCCCCCCCAGCTCACCTGGCCGGACCCACGTGACGGGGCGGGCCACGCGGCCACGCCCCCTTCCCGCACGCGCGCTTCGCCCGGGACCCCGCGGGCGCCCTCGGGCCCGAAACCCGGGAGGCGGCGGCGGCGGCAGCGGCGCGCGGAGACGTAGCAACGGCGTCGGCAGCATGTCGGCCGGTGGAGCGCCGATCCCGCCGCCCCCGAACCCTGCCGTGTCCTTCCCGTCGCCCCGGGTCACCCTGCCCGCGGGCCCCGACATCCTGCGCACCTACTCGGGCGCCTTCGTCTGCCTGGAGATTGTAAGTGGGGCTCCGGGCGAGGGTCGTGCCGGGGGGTGGCCGGGGGCCGGGGGACGAGGACCAGGCACCCCCCCCGTGCGCCCCCCTCCTTCCCTTCGACCTGACCTTTCCTGGGTCCGGTGCCTCTCCCGACCCGGGCGCCGCCGCCTGGGGCCTCCGGCCTGGCACCTGTTACGCCCGCACCTGCTCGGCCGCCGGCTATGGGGAGCACCCCTAAAGAGCGATCCCGGGGAGCCGTGGGCGCCGAGGAGCGGGACCTGGAGGAGACTTGGGGGGGGCAGGGAGGACTGGACTTGGGAGCGGCTTTGGGGACTTCGGGGCTTCGCCAGGGGCAGCGCAGGGCTGGAGGAAGCAGGGCGCTCCTGGCCTGGCTGGCCTGTTGCTAACCTGCCATTTTGTTGGGGTTGGTGCAAAGGTGTGTTACCCCCCCTCCCCCGTCCCCTGGGGTGACCAGGAGACTGCCAAGATGTGTGTGTGTGTGTGTGTGTGTGTGTGTGTGTGTGGAGCAGGGGGGAGGCAGGGAACCGGGCGGAGGCACCAGGAAGAGGAGGCTGGAGACCTGGGCATGGTTGGTTCCCCACCCCCTCCACCCTTGCCATCCAGAGTGCCCTTTGGCTTAGGGAACGGAAACGCCAGGCAGGGAGCAGGCTGGAAGAAGGGTGAGGTGAGCGCCTGGCGCTTGGCAGCTTCTAATCAAAGGGCTGAGAGGGCGGTGGGGGAAAGGTGGAAGCCAGGCTCGCGCCTGCCTCTCTCCACCTCTCCACCTTCTGCCTTCCCAGCTGACCTAACCAAATCCCAAACCACCCGGGCAAAGACCCACGAAGGGGGAAGCGGGCGGGGGGGGGGGGAGGTGAGGCCATCCCGCCTGCCCCTGGCTCCTTTCTTCCAGCTAGACACTTGAGCTTTTTAAAAGGGAATTTTCTGGAGTTTGGAAGCTTTTGAAGCTTCTTATTTATGGACAAGAGGGGGGTGGGGTGGGGATGTGCAAATATGAATTGGGCAACCAGCGTTGCATCATGCCCTGGGAATGACAAGGAGAGTGAAATATTAGCAAGGCAGTGACTTTGCTGCGAGCAGGCTCATTTTTGTTTGCTAGGTTTGGAGTTGCCATCTCTCTTTCCTGTCTCCTCTCCAGTGAGTTTGCATAACCTGGATTTGGGTCACTCCGGTTTCACTTTTGTACCTGTAGGGCTGGAACACCTTGCGGGCATTGATTTTCTGCCCTATTATGCCAAGGGAGCCCAAGCCACCCTAAGTTAAGGTTAGCCTAGATTTGAATCTGAAGAAAGACAAGAGCAAGTTGGCTGTCTATGTAGCTGGATGGTGACTGCAAAGCGGCAAGAGGCTGTTTTGAGTGTGCGCACCAGTCACAGAGCTCAGGATGAGCAGCCCATGTCCATAGGAGTAGAACTAGGAAAGGGTGGTATTGGGTGAGCTGTGCAGCTGTGGAAGGGACACACCTTTAGAACAGGAAGATCTTCACAGAAAGATTTCCTACTTTCTAGGCTTCTCTTCCATCCCTGTTGGGCAGACGGCAGGTGCTTGCCTGCCTCTTTTAGAAGTTTATCTCATGCTCATATCTACACTCCACCTGTGCCAGAATTTACAAAATATTCATGCAAAATAGACTCACTTTTTAAACTTTAAAGTTAAACTCCTCTTTAAAGTTAGCCATTGTGAAATCCCAATGTTGATCAAGAACCTTTGCTCCCTGAAGAATGCCTTGCACACAGTAGGTATTCAGTGAGTGATTTGGAAACATCCATTCAGTAAAACACCAAGAGATTTAGAAACGGATTGTGTTTTCTATCCTAAACCGGAAGGCTTGGCTTTGCAATACTAACTTAACATTTACTCTGAAGCATGGATGAACTGGTAAGTACAGCTGAGGTCCAAATCCAAACGTCTGGCACATACCAATATTCTCCACTTAAGAATCCAGGGTCATTTTACCTAGTTCTGATAGGCTATCACTATTTGCATCTCTTGTATTATCGCTCCAAGAAACGGCTTATACCTGTGACATTGTGAGTGTGGTATATCTGAGGAGATTAGAATTGAATGATTTGAGCACAATTAATGAGTTAGTTTGAGAATGAAACTCCAAGATCATCAGCGTAGTCTTCCATTAATACTCAAACCCATTCCTACTGGGCAATTGGGCATAGATGAAGAAATCTTGGAGACATATGAATCTGGATGGAAGGTCAAAATGAGTGAATTTGAAGACATCAGATACACTGGCAGAGGCTAAAATAATTGGTCTTCAAAATGGGCTTAGTATTTGGAACTATGCATGACAAACTCTCACATGTTTAACCAACGGAGTAAAGAATGTCTAAAGAGCCACAGTAGACTATGATTCAAGAATCAGAAAGGATTCTCGAAGGTGAATTGAGCTAGCTGGGGTAAAGTGCCTCAAAAGTTAAACTAGGAGTGCTGGGGCATGCCTGTAATCCCAGCACTGAGGCACCTGAGGCAGGAGGATCTTGAGTAGAAGTCAGCCTGGGCTTCGCAGCGAAACCTTCTGTTATAAACTAACAAGGAGGCTGATGTGCGAAAAAGGTAAAGGAGGTAAAGTAAAAATGGCTCTGGGAAATGATATACGTCTGAGATCTGTTTTAAGGGTGGTAAGGTGCCCGAGGACATGAGAACAATGACAGGGATGGACTGGATACCTCCATGAGTCTAGGATCTGACCATCCCCTGTGTGCCAGCACAGGGAGAATTTGTGTTTACAGAACTGTCTTCTCTACAGAGGCTGGACAAGCCTCCCATGGTTGCCAGCCTTGGCTGTGCATTTCAATCTACAGGGGAAGACTTAGCTGGCTCTAGGTGGTTCCCCGGAGATTCGGATTTAATTAGTATGGGATGGCAACAGTATTTTTTTTAAGCTGCCCATTTATTAAATTCAGCAAGATTTGAGAACTAACCACTGTGGGAGAGGGAGTAGGGGCGTGGCTAGGGAATATTGAATACGTCATTTCCTGCTTTTCTCCCTCGTAAAACTACACAGTGTTTCCAAAATTGTGGCGTGGCCACAGGTGGTTCTTAAGATGGAACTTGATTAACACATGGTTCAGCCTTCATATATACAGCCACACACCTATAGATAAATAGGCATTCACATATACACATGCAAATTTACCTATATATATTTGAATAAATACTAGAAACATGATTAAACACCAAAAAGAATAAAATTCTTTAGTCAGTATATTTCAGTATCATGTGTAGGAACCTATATAGATAGGTTACCTCCCCCCACCACATATACACATATAAACTATTCATTTATATCTTTATGAGAGAAGATTCACATGCTTCTGACTCCAGTGTTTGAGTACCAAAATGGTTTTAATTTCTTTAACATACCACCATAATTAAGAATATGCTATGCATCAGGTTTGTGTGTGTATGTGTGTGTGTCAGTGTCACATGCGCATACATGCCAGTCCTGGGGATTGAACTCAGGGCCTAGTTGCAGTCCCTGAGCTTTTTTGCTCAGGGATGGCACTCTAACACTTGAGCCACAGCTCCACTTCTGGCTTTTTTGGTGCTAAATTAGAGATAAGATTTTCCTACCTGGGCTAGCTCAGAATGGAGATCCTCAGATCTCAACTTCCTGGGTAGCTAGGATTACAGGCCTGAACCACTGGTGCCTAGCCAGGTTTACTTTTACACCCTGGAAATAGGGTAATTCCTGTCCTTAGAAGAATTTGTGCGGTGGAATATCAAGTCAAAAAAGAAATGCATGATCATATATGAAGTGCTAAAATAAGTTCTTGTATATGTTAGGGGAAAGCTGGGTACAGAATATCTGACAGAGAGCCAGGACACAGCTGTACAGAAGATAGCATTTGAGTGAAGCCACATAGGATGAGCAAGAGTTCCTTAACCACACAAAAGGAGGACAATTCCAGGAGGGCATGTACAAACCTCAGAGAGAGCATGGCAGGAAGCTTCGATTGACTGTTGACCTTCTTGACATGCCTGGCAGGGGTGACAGAAAAGTCAAGAAACTGTACAGCCAGAGTTGAGGTTGTGGTTCACTGAGAGCCACAGCTTTGAGTCTATGATGGGGGATGGAGGATGTCCTCTGTGGAGGACAGGGATAATCCTAGTTAGCATTTTGCCTCAGGAATCCTTAGTGAAGTTTGTATGAAAAACACAGAGCTAACAGCAGGTAGATCAGTTAAGTGGCTAATTACTCTACTAGAGATGAGGGATGGTAAGAACTTGAACCATGTACCTTGCCCCCCACACACACAAACAAATAGAATGTTAAAGGCTAATGGTGAGGGGTTGAGATTGTATAGGAGGAAGGTAACTATCATGCAGCTGAAGGCATTTCAAGATATTTTCAACTAAAATCTTAGAGGCTAGACTCACATAAATGTTCTGATATATAGTTTTCTTTTCTTGGCCAGAAAGTGAGATCTTGATTGCAAAGGGACCTGGTGTGCCTGCAGTGGGCAAGAGGGTGGTTTCCATGAATATATTTTTCTCACAAAGTAGATCTTAATCCCATAAATAAGATTTGTCCTTGGCCTGTTCATTAAAGATCTCCATCTACATGGAAACAACCTTTCAATTTTCATGAGAGAAAATACATTAATGCCTTCACCTAAGCTTCTTGTTACCAAACAGTCGTTCTGACTCATAGACCTATAGGAAAAATAAAGAAACAAAATTCGGAAAATCTTAAACCAAGTTGAGGGGAAGATTGATGTTGAGCCTCAATAGAAAAGGTCAAAGAAGTGAGATTTTTATTTGGTTTATATAGCCCAGAAGAAATATACCTGATATTAAGGGCAGTAGATACGGTATTCCTACAGAGATATGGCTGAATAAAGGACCTACAGTGACAAAGGACAGGAACTGGGTTGATATTACCTATATGCAGTTCTTAATGAATGTTCTATGATTTATGGTACAACATGAATGGTGTGTGAAAATATTCTAGAAGGACTGGCTAGAGTGGATAAAGGTAACTTTGG